GACTTTGAATAAATAAAAATATCTGAGTTACTGAGTTATCCACTTTTTATTCAGATGTTTGGTGTTATTTGGACACAGCCCGAATGAATCACAGAAAGAGCTTATGGGGAAAATTTTTTAATAGGTTACAAATCTGTTGTTTGGGGTATAGTATGGAAACTCTGGAAACAGATTTATGTATTTAGTTTTTCACTTTGCCACCAGATGTCCTCCATGAGTAGGAAAATATGATGACTTGAGTGATATTTTGGAGTGTGAATGCCCAGCATTTTTGAATATTTGACAGTGAAAGGAAAGTCTGAGTGAATGTAAATGTTACACAGGGTTTTGGATGAGATGTGTGCTTTGGAGGCTGTTTTACAGGTGTCGCTTTCAGGAGCAATATTTGGTTAACTCTTAAATTTTCATTTTTCATACTTTGCAAATATTTACTTAACATACTTCTTTTGCACTCACCTCAGAAATGAATATCTGCATTTTGAAGTAAATTATTATATCTAGAAATGTATATTGGGAAATACTATGACCTTTTTATAAAACACATAGATAAAAATCCTTAACTTTAAATTGAATTGCCCAGGAATTTCAAAAGTGAGTTTGTATGATTGCTATATAAGTTAGTATCAGAAAAGCCTAAAACGTTCTTAGTATTAAATTATATACGAGCAAGCTGTTTGCATCATTAGGAAATGTCTACTAATGAATGCTAAATTTGAGGTCAGATGATCTGCGTTCTAAACCCAGTTCTGCTTTTACCAAGTGACTTTGAGTAAGCGATATTCCTTCTCTAGGACTTAGGTTACTCTTCTATAAAATGATGGAGTTGTACTAAATTACTTACAAAACCCTTTCCCACTTTGAATCTCTGATTCTGTGATCTCATGAATAAACCAACTTAAGATTTACCCATAAAACACTGTAGAAACACATGTATTTAAAGGATAAACATATCAAACAGTTTAAGATTCATGGAATATATAAACTAGATACACTGTACAAATAACATTTATCTCAATACAGCTTGTGTTACATTCAATATTGAGGACAACCTCTTTATAGTATTGAAGAATCTCCATTACGGGGGAGGGGTTAAGGATGACACCTGCCTTATAGACTTTCTGTGTTTCAGTGAAAGGTATACACTGCTAAATACTTGAAAACATTTTAGCTCCAGTATAACTGTATCCATTATAGTGAGACTTTCCATACACTCGTTTTATTGGGGGGAGGAGGAAGGAAAATGGGGGAAGAAGAAGGGAAAAGGAAGGAGGTATAATACTGCTATCAAAAAAGAAAAAGACTAGGGCAATCTATATGGCATTAACAAACCAAATGAAATTTCATTCAACCAACCAGATATTTCCAGATGTTTTGGCATTGTATAGACCAAACATCTGAATGACTTATTTTTCCCCTCCTTTCCATCCAGACATTTTTGTTGCATACACAGCCACATAGGGAAAGAGGTGGCGAAATTTTAGTGTCTTTCAAGGGGTGCAGTTAACACTTCACCATACAGTTAGCCATAGTAAAAGTTTACTTTGGTGTTAGGAAATGTTTATTGCCACACCCCAACCCACATTCATACTTGAAGAGGCTTCAAAGCCACACTCCCTTCTCCACCCTCAACATGTAGAATGTAGCTTGCAATAGTCCTATTCTGACTTCATCTAGTTACCACTAGTTGTAAAATCCTTGGGTTGCTGGGGTGGGGGTTGGGGGGAGAGGAAGGGTGGTTTTTAACATCTATTCTCATTAGATGGCTAGGTTGTGCAGTGGGTAAGATGGCTGGCTTTGGGGTTAGAACATAGGGAGACCATTTCAAATCCTACCTCAGATACATACTAGTTGTCATTCTGGGCAAATAATATCTCTCGGCCTCAGTTTTCTCATCTACAAAATGGGGATAATAATAACACCTGAGTCAGGTTATTTTGAAGATAAGATGAAATAACTCATGCACAGTGCTTTGCAGACTTTAAAGGATTATATAAATGCTAGTTATTATTATTCTCATACTCAGGGTTTCTATTAGCTTTAGAAGATTTGGGAGAAGAGAGGTACAAGATTACTAGAGATGCCTCAGAAAACTTTTGATTAAGACATCCTTTTATTTTTCTCTTCCTTCCCTCCCCTTTCTGGACTCTTCCCATCCTTGCCCACCACCATACCACATGTAATGTAGTCATACCACAACCGTCCAGGTTTTCATGTAATTATAAGGAATTGGTGACAGACTAAGGCTTTCTGCTTTCTACTTCATTGCTCTCCGTGACACAGTGCCACTTTTTTTCTGGTTGATCATTAGCACCAAGTTATAAATATTTGCCAACATAACTTGCTGCCTTCCCTATTCTTTGTACTTATCCTTAGTCCTGCGAGTATTTTTTTCCTTGACCTGCAACAGCTGCCACAGGAAATAAACAAGGATGCTGGTATCTGCAGGTGGGAGGGAATGGAGAGTGGTAATCAGGGCTGAGAGACTTCATGGGAAACTATACTATCTCAGTTGTTCTCTTTTGTTGATGTCAGTTAGATTTTTTTCTCTTTCTCTTCATTCTATCCTACCCAACAGTGTAAAGTATGATACATACAGAGTCATAAAACTTGAGTTCAACGCCGGCTCTACTTCTTAGAACCAGATTGCCTTATCTCTCCAGGCCTCGATTTCCTCATCTACAAAATGAAGGAGTTGGACTAAATGACTTCTAATGTCCCTTCCAGCTCTAAATCTATGATCTTATGGATATCCAAGTTCCATTCACATTCTTTTATCAAACCTGACATTTTTTGGAGATCTTGACGGAGACATTTCTGTCATATTGAAGACTGAGTACAAACCTCATAGTCCCCTTCACTCAACCAAAGACATCACATTTCTTATCATAACACCTGTACCTTAAAAAAAAAAAAAGCAAACAGCAACACCTCTCTTCAACACTTCTGCCCTGAGAGTGTTTCTCCATCTTCCTCTGTTGTCAAATTTAGACTGTAAGTCTGTTATCATCTGTCACTTTAATACATTGTATGGCTAATTTAAAAAAAATTGGATACATAATTTTACCAGTGTAGGGAGATCTCAGAGAAGAACTTCCTCTACCAATGTAGGCTAGTGCCTTATCTGCAATTCATAGTGTTACAGTGCTGCTTGGGAGTATAGGGAGGTGGGGTTTGGAGGTGTAGGGGGCAGGTGGCTTGCACAGGGTTACACAGCCAGCATGTGACCGTATGAGCCCTCTTTCCAATGTCACACTAGCTCATGTGTACAATATGTGTACAATATGTATATATGCACATATCATTTGTATGTACATTACAGGAATAGTATATATGCATATATATGTCATAGGCTCTCATTAATTTATTTTCATGAACAAATCCTTCCAGCGACCTGGCCCTTCATTGGTGTCCAGATGTTTAATCATAGTGCATCTAATTCTGAGTACCATTCTGCCCCATGTGATAAAGATCCCTTGGGTAAAGTTATCTTCTGATGCATTGTATGACATGAAGGTGATCCTTCTTGTAGGCTATTCACAAACCCTAGTAGGTAAGACTTTTCAACCTTATCAAACTGAAAAGGCTTTAAATGCAAGCTCAGCAACAGATAGTGTATCTATTATCCAAGGAACGGAATAGCCAAATTTTCAGAGGTTCATCAGCAGAGGGTTAGCCTTGGCCATCTTATGAAAAACCATCTCTTAAGGCATATAGGGATTATGATCCACTTCATATTTGATATAACATGTCCCAGATGTTTTGAAATATAGGTGGTATAGCTCCAGCATCAAGCTCATTGAGAACACCTGTCATAGTGCCTTACACATAGAAGGCATCTAATAAACATTTGGTGATTTGGATTTTTGTAAAACAGTCTCTATTAGAAGTATCCCCAAGATTTTTCTATATAGTAGGAAGTCTACAAAGACTAGGGCAGCTAGGTGGCATAACAGAGAGAGCTCTAGGCCTAGAGTCAGGAAGACCTGAGTTCAAAACCGCGCTCAGACACTTGCTAGCTGTGTGATCCTGGGCAAGTCACTTAACTCAGCTTTCTCATCTATAAAATGAGTTGGAGAAGGAAATGGCAAATTAGTCTCATATCTTTACCGAGAAAACACCAAATGTGTCACAAAGAGTAGGACACAACCAAAACGATGGAACAACAACAATAACTACAGAGATTAAGAGGTCAGGTTAATGTAAAAAGCATTGTCCTACAGAGACTTGTAGCCCATTCCAGGACAATTTCTATGTATTATGTTATCTTTAATATGGCCATTAAGTTGCCATTTATTTAATTTTCTTTTCTTGCTTTAATCAGCCATTAAGTGTTTATTATGTATCTACTTGGTAGGTAATGTTAGGTACTGGGGACACAGAAACAAGAAAGCAATGGTACATGCCTTCAGAAGCATCGGGAGCAATGACAGGTATATCTATAAAGACCTATGAAATATATGCAAAATAAATGCATAAAAACAAGATCACTAGGTGACACCAGCAGTTGGGGAGTCAGGAAAGGCCTTGGATAGCAATAGGTGGTACCTGATCTGAGTGCAGGTATTCCAGGCCTGGAAGACGGTATATGCAGAAAAGTTTCAGAGAAAGGATGCTGCCTGTTTGGAGGTAAGGTGAAGTACTTTGAAGAGAGACTGTGCATATTTGTTGATATTAATGATCTTAGATTTGCAGGATCTAGACATCATCTGGTCCAACTTCCTCATTTTAAAGATGAGGAAACTGAAGCCTAGAGAGATTAAATGACTTGCTAAGATTATACACAGGTACTAAGTAGAGGTGCTAAAATTTAAACCTAAATCCTCTGATTTCAGATCCAGACTCTCCTTCTTCTGGGAATGTGAAGAGGAGACTTGGAGGATTGCTTGGTACTCCAATACCACCAGAGCTATATGCCCTAAGCACTTCTAGAGAAGCAACAGATGATGGAACTTGCTTTTAAAAATATTGTATTTTTATTTTCAGTTCCAAATTCTCTCCTTCCTTCTTCCCCTCCTCCATACATTGAGAAGGCAAGAAATATGACACCCATCACATATGAAGTCATGCAAGGCATATTTCCGCATTGGCCATGTTCTGAAAAAAAAAAGCAAGAAAAATACAGAGAAAAAATGCTTCAGTTTGCACTCTGAGTCCATCAGGTCTCTATCTGGAGGTGTATATCATTTTACATCACAAGTCCTTTGGAACGGTGGTGGATCATTATACTGGTCAGACTTATTAAGTCTTTCAGGGTCGATTCTCTTCACAATATTGCTGTCATTATGTAGATTGTTTTCCTGGTTCTATTCTCTTTACTTAGCATCAGTTCATATAAGTCTTTCTAGGTATTTCTGATATCAACCCCTTCATCATTTCTTACAGCACAATATTATCCAGTTGATGGAACTTCTAAAAAAAGGCCTAAATGGTGAAAAGTACTCTACTACTTGAAAGTTTGTGTTAAGAAGAGAGTGATCCTAGATTTTATTATTTTTTGGTCATTATTCCATATTTATTGAGCCAACTGCTGAGGGGAATCTTGGCTTAGTGTGGGGAGGTAGAGAATTGGGTTTTATTTTAAACAATTAGAAATGATCCTAGCTTTTATGAATTGTCACCTTAGTGATGAGGGACCACTCTCCATTGTGGCTGACTGCGTTGGCCTGGAACAAGACAGATGGTTATAGGATATTCAAAAGAGTTAAAGATTATCATAATAACTATTCTGATTTCCCAAGGGCAGAGCCTGGCTGGGGTATAGCTAGAGATTCCATTGAAGAAAACATTTCAGGTGGGAGGTTCTAGTGTTTAGAATGATGAACTCATTCTCCTCTGTCAAACATTTATGACCTGTCACTCGATGCATTTTGTGGTTGGTCAAGAAACTTAGCAGGATTTTGTCTGGAGGAAAAATCATGATATGATGGAGAAGCTGTTGCTGAAGGAGTAGAGAGCTATACCAAACAGATACGTTATTGCTATTCCTCAGATGACTTGAACTATGACTATGCCCATATTCGCCAAACTTAAGTAGCCATGGCCACACACTGAAAATTTCATGTTCATGTAGAGTGATTTTTTAAAAAAATGTGATAGCTGTACTATAAGAAAATCTGCCTGTAGGTGAGGTGTGTTCAGGTAGATTTGAGTCAGTTTCATTTACCCATTCCACTTCAATTAGCAAGATAATTGTATTCCAGATACAAACAATAAAGCATTTCATTCTATCATCTTTTACAGAGTAAGATTCTAGGCATGGTGACATGGTATTATAAAATTTGCAAAGCACTTTATTTACAAGAAATACATGAAATACATGATACAAATATCATTACCCCATTTTACAGATAAAGAAACTGTAGATAAGTGACTTAGCCTTGGTCACATAGTCATGGATTCAAACTCAAGTTTCCTAACTCTGGATCCAACACACTTTCTACTATACCACACTCTCTCTCATAATTATATTCTTGCTAGGTTTGTGTTTAGTGGCCTTAAGAAATAGGAACCTATTTGGATATCGATAGAATTTGTGACTTTTCTGGAATATGGATTTCCCATATGAGAAAAGGTATAAGCATCTCTCAAAAAATGGATTATGATTCCTTTAAACAACACAAGTAATTCTCAATTTTCCACTAATGTCCTACTCTAATGCCCTACTGTAGCACAGAAAGCTGTGTTCTCAAAGGCTATGGCAGCCTGCATGGGGGCAGCTAGGTGGCACAGAGGATAGAGTGCTGGGCCTCAAGTCAGGAAGACTCATCTTCTTGAGTTCAGATCTGTTCAGACACCTACCAGATGTGCCACCCTGGGCAAACCACTTAACCTTTTTGCCTCAGTTTCCTCATTTGTAAAATGAGCTAGAGAAGGAAATGGCAAACCACTTTTTCTTTTGCCAAGAAAATCTCAAATGGGGTCACGAGTCAGGAACAACTGAATAATGACAACAACATGACAGCATGGTAGAATATTTATTTTGGAATCCGAAATAGCTGGGTTTGAATCCTGCCTCAGACACTTCCTTGCTGTGTGATCCTGGGCAAGTCACTTAATCTGTTTGCCTCAGTTTTCTCATCCATAAATGATGGTAGACTAGAAGACTTCCTATGAGCTTTTACAATTCCTACTAAATTGGAAAAGTTTCAAATACACAGTCTTGTTTGAGGATTACCTTAGCTAAATTCAGAGAGGTTCAGCTTCTGAGTGTGGTACCTGAGATGCTTGCATCTGAGAAAGGCAAAAAGAGAGACACACTAGCTGACTGGGAAATATCAATGGCTTTTCTTCCCACAACACAAACAAGGTCTATCTGGAGATGATGAGGGTTTTCTAACATACGAACTCTAGAAATTAATCTGCTCAGGCATAGGAGGGGTGTCATGGGCATTCATATAAGTAGTATCTACAATGATAAAAATCACATATTATTGATGTATTAAACCAAGTACTAATTTTGAAGATTAACATTCACCAGATTGTAAGCTCCTTGAGAAGGGACCTTGTGTTATCTTTATCTTTTTGTCATCTTTAGCTTGTGTTATTTTTATGTGTCTGTTATTCTGTCTTTGTATCTCAATCACGTATCAAAGTGTGTTAGCATAGGCATTTAATTTAATGCTTGTGAATTGAACTGAATTATATATAGGAATGATATGTAATGGTTAAATCACAACATTCCTCTTCATAATTATAGTGGGGACAATTGAGCTACCCTATTCCAACATATTTTCAATTAATGTAAACTGTTTGGCAGATGGAAAGCTCTTAATCTGAAGAATTGTCTAAAAACCCTCTAGAGTCCTCCAGGGTGGTAACAATCTTAAGGACCAGGGCAGCTTTCCCCCTGGTTCCTCGACAGCGGGGGGGGGGGGGGAAGAGGGGGCGGCAGAGAAGGGGAGGCCAGTGAAAAGCAAAACCAAAACAACAGGCCCCAAATCCTGGAAATGCAGGGTCTGGTTTACATTTATCCCTTTCTGTAACAAGCCTGTAAGCAGCTTCCTCAGAGGGTGTGTCTTCACTTCCAGCTGTCTTTTAAAAGCCACGTGTCAGCTAAACGCCTAGTTTACATCAAAAAAGAGAAACTAGGAGAAGCATTAAAAAAGAAATCCACCCCTTTCTGCTCTTCCTAGAATAATATTTGATACAGAACTTGTAAGGTTTTTCTGCCTAGTTCATAAGTTCATACCTTTTAACTGGTCTTTAAATCAAGCGGTTTCGAGCTAGGACAACAACAGTGGGTGAAGACAAAATTCAGATAGTGTATACAAACAAGAGAGCGCTCCAGAAAACCTCTCCTCTTCAGTACCTTGCGGATCTCGGAATACTGCTTATAAGTTTGTAGTCTCGGAGCTAGTTGTGCGAATGAGGCAACGCCTCTCTTGTGGAAGAGAAGGCGAGGGGGAGCGCCTATTTAAATATAGGGTAGTTGGATCTTTCTATTGGCTGCCGTTCTTGTCAATCATCAAGGAAGGCGGGGCGATCTGGGGGTTGGAGTGTGGTACCTGAGAGAGGCTCGCATCTGAGAGTCAATGCTGCGCGTAGTGGGGGAACGAAGAGGCGAGGAGAGAGACGCACGAGCAGACTGGGAAATATCGATGACTTTTCTTCCCACGACACAAGCCTCTGCTCCCTTCTCTCTTACCCCTGTTATGTGAGGGGATTTCAGCTCAGGTCCTTGAGAACAGCACGGAAAACAAGAACCTTGCGGGCTTCACTCGGGGACTTCATCAACTGAGTGCAGAGATTTCTTAGAGGGGAGCGACGGTGGTGGAAAGGGAATTTGCGAAAGGAAAAAAAGAAGTTTGCTCTTCTGGAGAAAGTTGGCTCCCCTCTCCCAGTCTTTTTTTTTTTAAACAAGTCTCGAAGCTCAACCCAGAGTGCGCTGCAGTACCTCTGTTGCTGCCCCTTTTGATGTGGGGGCTCGCGTCCGGGATGCGGGGCGCTTCCCCGCTGTAGTGAGCAGCTTCTCGCCTCCAGACCGATCCCTTCGTCAATCCCGCCCCACAGAGAGAGACTGACAGACGTCTAGGCAGAAAGGCAGACTCACCAGCGCGCACCCTGGAAGGCCAAACGGGGCAAACGCACGTGGATGTGTTTGTGTGTGTGTTCTGGGCTGGCAAGGGGGGCGAAGGTGACACCACAGTGGCCTGCAGAGGTCCGGATGAAGCCGGGCTCGGGTGCAACATTGGACTAGAAGCGGCATACCTGGAACTTGCAACAATCTCTTCGTACTTCCGCAGAAGTGGTTTTTGGATCTTCCCCCTCGACCCTCACTCATTCTGCCCCTTCGTTTCTCCCCCACCCTCCAACCTGGGCAACTGGGGGAGCCTAGGAGGACCATGCGAGATAAAGACTGAGGTCCAGGAAGGGGAAGAGAGCCGGTAGCAGAGGGGAGGGTGGAGGGGGGATAATCACAGAAAGTGTCACGAGCGGCTCCCCCCTCCTCCTCCTCCACTTCTTCTTCTTCCTCCTCCTCCTCCTTCTTCTCGTTCTCCTCGTCCTCCTCGGTTCCATTTCCCAAGTGGGAGTCCAACGGGGGGCCAGCGGGAGCAGCACGGCAAGGGGGGCCCCGGGCGGGCAGGCGGGGGATGCCGCTGCTGGGGAGGAGAGTGCAGTGGCTATGCTGGTGGTGGGGGCTCCTGTGCGGCTGCTGCTGCCCCCCACCAGTGCTGCCCCTCCTGCCCGCCGCGGCCGCAGCCGCCACTGGAGGGGCGCTGCTTGGGAACAGCAGCGGGAAGAGCAATAGCCCCGGGGAGCAGCAACAGCCGCTGCAGCAGCCGACACCGCAGCCGCCCTCCTCTTCCTCTTCTTCCCCCTCCTCTGGTTTCCTCTACCGGAGGCTCAAGACACATGAGAAACGGGAGATGCAGAAGGAGATTTTGTCTGTGCTGGGGCTGCCCCACCGGCCCCGGCCTCTCCACGGATTACAGCAGCAGCAGCCGCCGCCACCTCTGCAGCCCGAGCATCGCGGGGCGCTGCCGTCCTCTCCGCCCCCGCCCCCGCCAGGGAGACTAAAGTCGGCTCCCCTCTTCATGCTGGATCTGTACAATGCCCTGTCCGCAGACGAGGGCGAAGAGAGGGGAGAGGAGGAGGAGAAGCAACAGCCCCCGCCCCAAGGAGGGGGCGACCGAAGGGGTTGGTCCCAGCAGCGGCTGCCGGCCAGCCGGCCCCTGGCTCCGAGCGCGGCGGCGCATGCCCTGCATCGCAAAAGTCTCCTCGCCCCGGGTCCTGGCGGCAGCGGTGGAGCGTCCCCGCTAGCCAGCGCTCAAGACAGCGCCTTTCTCAACGATGCTGACATGGTCATGAGCTTTGTGAACCTGGGTAAGGATCTACATGCAGTAGATGCATAAATAACTACCTTTCATTCCCTGCCCCCAGGTGACAGGGGAGTGAACACTAAAGGGTGCTAGGCTCCTAGGCTGATGAAGGGTGGGCTCCCAGGGAAAGACCACTAGACTGATAGCCGAGATACATCGGTTCTGCAGCTCTGCCACTAACTAGGGGTATGAATTGGACAAATCTCTTTCTCTCTCGGAGCCCCCCCCCCTTTTCTCCTCTGTAAGATGAGGGGAGTTGGACTGATTGTCTCTAAGATCTCTCCAGGTCTAGTTTCTAAATCTGGGCTCTCCATTACTGCCTTCAGAGCTTCTGTCTGGGGAGCTGGCTCAGTCAGGTGTTTTGGCTAGACTACCACCTGTACTTTCCTGACTGGCGGGGGTGTGCAAATTCCCGGAGGACAGGGAGCAGCCTTGTAGTTGTGTGTTTTTGCTTTATAGGTTGCAGTGGGGCAGGGAAAGACATAGACTAACTTCTGGAGCCTTTTTCCTCTTCTCCTCCCTCTCCCCCTCCTCTTTTTCATTGATAGCTAAGTGGTTAGAAGTGCCTGGCCTTACTTAAAGGAGAACATCTTGGTGCTTCTTTCAGTCAGTAATTGAGAACTGGCCAGGGTATATTCAGTGCCCTTCTCATTTGAACATCAACCTTGTTCTTGGGGAGAAGTTAAACCTGCTCATAGAGAAATGCAAAACCTAGAGTTTACCAAGCCTGTAGAAAGAAAACTAGGGCATCCATTAACATCCAAATTATTTTGTTGCCTTCCAAGCTAACCAATGGCTCTTAACTCTTTTATAGTTAAATCTTCAAATTTGTAGAGTCTAACAAAAGAGGGGTGGGGATTTAGAAAGAAAAAAAAAGGATGGATACAAGTTGGGACCTTGTTGAGAACTGTTGGGGATACTTCCATAGAGTAACAGTAGTGAATTAATTCTTGTTAGGGAGAATTGTGTGGTAGCATTCATATATAATCCTGCGTATTTTTAGCCATAGCTCTGAAATCAATATTTGAGGAATCCAGTTCATTCCTAAAGACTGAAAAGATTAAAAAAAAATGGGATGAGGTTGAGGAGGGCTTCAGAAAGTTTCCTCATCTACAAATGAAGATGAGATTAAGTTTTTTTTCCCTGAATGAATGAATATTCTTAATATATGCCATTGACTTCTTTTCCCCTCCTTTCCCTGTGTGGAATGTGCTACTTTGTCAGTGTGGTTTGGTACAAAGTCATTTCAAGAGAAAATGTGGTTGTTTTCAGTGACTCCAGAGTCTAATGTTCACACATTAAAAAAAAATTGCTAGAATTGTTGCCTTCTAGGTTCCAAGACGTGGTAGGTAGAATAAATGATGTAGGGAATAGATACCTTCCTCAAATGCCACCCAGAAAAGTCATCCAAAAACAAAACAAAACCTAGTCACTTTAAGGACATTGCTGACTTGCAGTACTCCCCAAGTGAAAGAGCTAGTTCTTTACAAGTGAATCTCAAAGTGATTTAAAAACACGCCTTCAGGTTGCTGCTGCTGCTGCTGCTGTTTTTTGAGGGGAGAAGAGAGGGTAGAACCAGAGATGGCAAGGTATGGTTTCTTAATAGCTTACAAAACAAAATCTCATAGCAGGTGCAGCCTCAGAGCCTGCCAACCCTGCCAATGTGGAATACTTCAGGGTCTGCCTTGCAACTTTTGTGTCCAGGGATTTTGATTGGGCAGGAATTTTCACAAATGATGGCAGCCAAAACCAGGGTTGGACTACCTCCATGAAGCAGGCTGGACAAATTCTCATGATTCCAGGCCACTAAGCAATGGTTCCAGGGGCAGCAGGCCAATGCTGTTCCTTGTCCTGCCTCCTCTGCTTCCTCTCCCTTACTTAACACCCCCTTCTATTCTGGGCACATCCAAAAAGTACAAGTTAATCCACAGGTCACTGGGAAAAATGTCCAGTTACTTTTTTGGGGTTAATCCCATTCCCAGCTGGAATGGAGAAAGTCCTAGATTCCCTCTCTGTCAATAATGATATTAATAAAACCAGGATTTATGAAGATATGTGGTCATTAGGATGTCCTAGTAATGTCCTACAAGGGCTATGTAGAAACTGCCTTATCTAAGGAAAAACTGCTCTCTATCCATTACGTTGATTTGTTACGGATTCAGACTAGGCTACCTCTAGGCAAGATTCTGAAGTTGATAAACCTTTTCATTTTTATCTTTTTAAATATTTCCTACAACCTCTTTGCTCAGGTTCAGTCACAAACACTTATTTAGTGTATATGCTGGCTAAGGCCCTGTGCTAGGTACTAGTAATACATAGACAACAGAAAGAATCAGTAGAAACAGACTACTCTTAAAATACTTTACATACTGCTGGGATTACACCATGTGCACAGATAGGTAAAGACAAGATAATTTGAGGAGGGAAGAAAGAACTCTAACAATCAGGTATGTGTATAAAGCTATCACAAAGGAGGCTGTCCTCTTTTGTTAAAGGACCTATCCAATATCCCATTTCCACGCTGGTGAGGTTGTCCTTACTATCTGCTAAGGTTTACAAATTGGAGAAATATTTGTAATTTCGGAGAGGACTTTTAAAAATTCAGAGCAATGAATCTCAATCTTTGATGGTGGCATTAAAAATATGATAACAGGTTTATAGGGCACAAGAAGGAGATATTACTGGAAGTTCTGACTGGAACCCTTCGAATCAAGCTAATAGGCATTCCTTTTATTCAACACACATGGAGATAGAATTGCTTGTAGGTAAGTATAATACAGATCCCTAACTACTATTCTAGTTTTCAACCGAGCTTCAGAAATCAATCTTAACTTAGCAATGATGATAAGGGCCTCCAATAAAGTCTTACTTGTGGCACAGAGGTGACCTATACTTTAATACCTGCAGAGCCCTAGGTGGTCAAATCCTATGAAGCTGGAAAAAATTTCTAGTTTTAAAAAGTATGTTTATTAAGTTCAAAGAAAGGCTCATCCGCAGAAGGTTTGAGCACAAACTAGTAATTTTTTTTTTCAGTTACAGCAACCTATGAAGATCAAATGATATGCAGTAGTGGTAGGGACCCCCAGACAAAGTCATAGATTCTTGAAGTGCTGAAAAGAGATTTTATCCTAAGAGATAAAGTAGTTAACTGTGGTCCTCATGGACATAAAGAAGGGAGGTTCCAGTGGGAAGAATGCTGGATTGGAAGTCAAAGGGACTCAGTTTAAATCCCAGTCTACCCCCTTATTACCTATGGGACCATAAGCAAATCATGTCACCTTCCCAAGCTTCAGTTTCTTCATCTTTAAAACAGAAGATTGGATTAGATGATCTCTGAGGTCCCTTCCAAGCCTACATCTATGATCCTTTGACCTTAGTAAAGGAAAGGTGCCTCAGTGCATAGAGTGCTGGAATTGGAAACAGGAAAACTTGGAGTCCAATGCTATTTCAGATACCAGCTGTGTAACTCCAAGCAAGTCAGCCTTAGTTTCCTTACCTGTAAAGTAGAAATAATACTAGCACCTACCTCCCAGGGTTATTGTGAAGAGCAAATGAGATAACTTCTAAAGTCCTTTGAAACCTTTAAAATGTTATATAGATGCTAGCTCTTATTTGTTATGATGATGATTTTTATTACTTGTATTTTCAGAATAAGGATTTGGGGAGCATTTCCCTGATTTCCTAATCTGTCAGTGGTATGTTGACAGCTGTAGTTAAATGACTCATCTCTCATCAAAACCACAGGAAGATCAAGTTCTATAATGTCGCTTTTGGCACATATTTAGAACTCATTAGTTTAAACATTTTACTAAGTATATGCTATGTGCCTTGTACTGGAAGAGAAGCACAAAGGAAAGTGGTTACATAGTTGTAGACATGCATCTTATGTAAAACAGAGGATTTACTCATGAAATACATTTAAGTAACACTGAGGCCTTTCATCTAGGGTGACCATCAGGAAGTATGAATCAACAAGAGAAACTTTCTCTCACATCTCTACTACCGGTCATTAAAGCCAGCTCATTGTTCTTTATGTTGATTGTTTCAAATTCTTCATGAATGAACAGAATGAACATTTGTAATGATTCAAGTACTTACAGCAACTTGGCCCCTGATGTTGTCTGCTGTTGCTACTGCTGTGAGTCTGTAGAAGGTGTATGCCCATGCATGCATGCATGTACGTGAGCATGAATTCAATCAGTGCTGTTTTCCATTAGTTTTCTGATACTAAGAATCTTTTTGGCAGTCTGAATAACCTGCCTTCCAGTCTTTGGTTTTCTAGAATGTACTTTTTAACAGGGAAAACAGAGTGTCTTTTGCCCTCTGTGGTTTTAGTTGACCTTATCAAAGTATGGGCAAATACCAGTCTGGAGCTATAGTAAAATGTTTACTATTTCATATACTGATTTAATTTTTCTTTTTATAAAATACATGGAATTTGCTATTTTTACTGCTGAAAGTTTCAAAGTAAATGAAGAAATTCAGGGCCTTGTAACTTCAGGATCATTTGCAATGCCTGGCACATGCTTAATAGATGCTTGTTGAGTGATATATGCTTATAGTGTACTGTTATATGTCAGTTAAATTTCTCTTAGTTTGTAATATAATATATGCTTTATTCAATTTATTTTAAAACATCTACATTTTTATTAGTATGAATACTCTCTCCCCCATGGAGATGGCAACCTCTCCATGATTTAGCAGATGCTTTAATGAGTTGTCGAAGACAAAAAAAAAATGTCACTCTGTGGCTTATTTCCTGGTAATGAGCCTCTCCAAACCACGCTAAACTAGTCTTTTGACAATTGTTTATTCCAAGTCTCAGTAGCATAGAAGTTCCTCACAAGGACAGGTGCTATTTTTCATTTTCTCTTTATATCCTCTGCATTCAGCAGAGTGTCTTACACTTAAGTGCTTGAAGGATTGAATTGGATTATTTTAATTTGGAGCAAGGGTGGGGAACCTTCGGCCCCCAGGCCACATATGGCCTTCTAGGTTCTTGGG